TGTGTCCTGGAACGAGCTGTGGCACTTTGAGACAACCTCACGTACTCGGCAGCTAACAGGCCAGGACCTATGTCCCTCACGTGAGATGCAAATAATACTTTAAAGCACATTTTCGGGCTGCTGCACACTGAAATTATTGATAGAAATGCGGGAAATACGAGTTTGAATATTGCATTCGAATACTTTCAGCCGCGAGTTATAAAAGATTATGGAATCAGAGAGGATAATTGCGAAAATAAATATAATCTAATCATGTATATAACAGGAAGATTAGCTACATTTGACAGACAGATTGGCCGATAAGCAGACAAAACAAAAGAAAGTGCTTTAGGTGGGAGTGCCCGACTGAGTGATACCCTATCCCTACACACTCAAAACTACACATACTGAAATCTTTCCTTTGGCCCATGCTTTGGGAAATGAAATCTTGAATAAGTTCGGTGTTTATAGACCGATCCTTATACAAATGTTTTGGCCATTTACACTTTTTACTTTTTTGACACACGACCATATAAATGGATCAGGTAATATATAAAATTAAAAATTAAAGTACACTTAAAAACTTTACAATTTTATTGGAAGGGGAGCAAGTATCAAAAAGTTAAATAAGCCAACTCTTTATACATATGTTACCAAATTTTGTATATCTAGATCTTTATAAATTATATCAAAATCGATATTTATCGATATTTTTTAAATGGGTTGAGGTATTAACAAAAAAATTAGAAGCTAATTTTGCAAAGCATATAAAATAATAAATATTTTAATTTTCTAGCCGGTGGCAGACTTCTTAGTTCCTCTTCCTGATCAAGAATATGTATACCTTCTTAGGTCTCAAAATGCTATCTTCTGCTAGTTACAAACTTTTTTAGTGTAAATAACAGTTAATTTTTATTTAACAATAACGTGCATACGCCCGGTTGTTTCTCTTTATATACCAAGTTGTTTCTTTTGAGATCCCATCAAGGTGCCAACATAAAAGTTGAACCAAAGTCGCTTTACTGGTTAATTACCGAGAGATACTTTACTGCCCATTGATGAGGAGTAATTTTACCGCTACGTAGCTGACACATGCAACTTTTGAGATGCGGCTGCCACAGGAAGCCGTGTCATAAATGTTAAGCCAACTAAAATGAAGAACTTTGCAGCCCTTGCCACCAAATACCTCGAACGTCGGTGCGGATTACAAGGCAGTGCAACACGTTTGATAACTGACAGTGCAGCGGGCGATGCAACCTTTAGCATGTCAGCATGTCAGTCGCATTGACCCCACATTGACCCCACCAGCAACTAGCAATTAGCAGTGGTATATTAACCACTTTTTAATTAGTTGTTACCTACAGGTTGCCGTTAATGTTATATCTCGACAGGCATCCAACTTCTTGCCAACTAAATAATAAAGAAAAACTGAGCCGTGTTTTCCACACAATCTATCAATCTTGGGCCAAGAACTAGAGTTCTCTAGTCAGGAGTGCCCTACTAGAAGATAGCCTGAACCCCGTGACGAGCTTCCTTTACGAACATTTTAGCTTTCTTATAGACTCACACACACAAATACAAATGCACACACACACATACGCTGCTTGATGCGCAGAGGCTGTGCTTCTTCTATCCACATTCCCGCAATATTGGAAATACAATACAATGAATAGCTTCGGTGCTTAAAGTCTGATCCTTATGGCATTAAGGACAGAAATGGCGTATATTCAAAAACGCAAGGCTACGCCTTTTTTTAAATTTGGTTAATTATGGCGAGCTGATCCAAAAAGATTAATAAATTTAATCTATGTATACTATACAAAAACCTAGACCTAAATGTATTTAACTATTATAATTTTCGAATTATGCTTCGATAGCCGTATCCAAAATCGATATCTATCGACATTTTACAAATGGGAAACCATATCGAAAAAATATTTTTAGTTTATTATACAAGAATATATGAGAATGTATTTTTGAATCGGTGCAGATGGACGCGGAGAGAGATGAAGAGACCAACAGGCGAACATGGCTAGATCGACTCACTTCGTCGTCCTGATTACGAATGTATATACTTTATGGGTTGGATTTTACTTGAACAAAGTTGCATACCCTGTTTACCCACTTTCGATGAGCTCAGGGTATAATAAGATCTATAATTAGGATAACGAAATTTCACCATTCACTTCCTATACAATTATTTAAGAAATAAATATTAAAGGCAGAATTTAAATGTATAATTGAGTATCTAAAATGCGTCCATCTGGCTGTCATGGAAGTATTACCATAATATTTTAATTCCCGGCTTAACTTCTATGGCAGGCAAAAGAGATGGACATGGCCGTGGCATGAAAGCCCCGTACTGCAAAACTTTATTTCGCACACAGAGAGCAAGTTAAAAAAATGCTATTAGATATTCAGACGATAACTATTAAAAAAACCAAAAAAACTAAGAGAGATATTTTGGTAGAAAAATGTAATGCATTAAAAGCTGATTCAGAAATTCCAAACATCCTTAATTTAGGAAAGAATCGAATAACTTAAAATTTCTCTATTCTCGACCGTATAGCACCGGGCTGTGCCGTAAAAAACCCTACCAGAGAATATTAAAGTGGAAAAAGTTTTAAGCGTTAATAAATTTATAAGACAAATAAAAAATATATATTAAACCGAGAACTATTTGGTTTTACCAGAGCTGCCGCAAATACTTTTATTACATTAAACGAAAAACGCAAGGCGAACCACATATGCGGCATTCCGCTCGCAATTGCGATTCCAGTTGTTGACCAACATACACATACGGGAATGCACGGGAATGGCCTTCCGGATACAGATACAGATACTGCTGGCATATATAACTATGACAGATGGTTGGGGCCCAAAACATGCTTCTACACCTGCTCCATCAAGGTACGTGGCTAAGTAGCCAGCGAATATAACATATATATAGCCTGATCCATTTATCTGGGCAAAATGTAAATTGCAACCGGGGTCTGCGGCCTCGGTGGAAGGTGAAAGGAAGGCCACCTCATAGGCAGTCCGGATGTCCGCACAGCGTTGAGGTTCTGCGGCTCCCGGGCAAAATGCAGCACACAAACATTCCCCGGATTCGGGACACGGTGGCTCCCGGTCTGTTGGGGCCCGAGCACATAATTGAAATTCTGAATTACGCGAGTTTCGCGAATAAAGTTTTTGGCACCATCAAATTGAATTAGTTTCGGGTCATTGTGCTTGGAATTGCAAATGCAATTAAGTTCCTTATTACACTTCGCGTAGACACTTCAGAAAACCAAAAGATAATCCAATTTGCATGTAATAAAACTGCATTTTTGATGTAAGCACGATGGGATTTATGATTCACTTGTGATTCACGTGATTCCTTAATACATGAAATTGATTTGCTTTTAAGCTGGTAAACAAGAACTTTTGCGAAAATTGAGTTTCCTCTGCCCTCTGCTTCATCCTTATATCAGAATTGATTCTTAAATGTTTTTGGTGAATGCTTATTAAATCTGCATTACATAAGAATACGGGAATATAACATATATTAAGGAATAAAATATATATATTTGTTATAAGGGTAACAATGGGTCATGCCCTACAAAATAAGGGGATGTATCACATATAAAGGAATAAGACTTGGTATTTGGTATAATTGGTAAAAATGGTTTAATAATAATGTATGCGACAGACAGCAGGAGGCATTTACGACTCCATAAAGTTGATCTAGTCGTTAACCTATGTCTATTCTTAGAGACTATTAGAATTAAAGACTTCCCGTTCCCAGAAATTCCTCTTTCCTCTTTCATTTAATAAAATGGCTACAAACGCCATATTGTATGAATGTCCTGGTATAATTTATATTGATTAGGAATATTTTACTGGACACGTCCTCCTAATCTCCCATCTTAAAGGCTTTGTTATACAAACACACTTGGATGCTCGTATTTTAAGCCCTGGAAATTTGATATAGATCGGCAAATAAACACAAACTTCTTCAGATATGCATTAACCATAATATGGAATAAATGAGAGAAGAGAAAGAAGAGCGGATGTTTGTATAAGAAGGAGTTGGAATGCCTGTAACGACATCTGGATGTACTAGGTAAAACCTAGAAGAGAATTCCTGACAACAGCAATTTCGCTTGTTTTTTTCATTTTATTATTTATACTTTATCTCCTTTTATAAAGCATTTCCACCGACAAGACCACAGACTGGAATCTTATTAGATTTGATAGAAATTAAGCCTCGTCTAATATGTAACTATAATATAATTTGTATTTCATACGTCAATATGTATATCATAATTTCTATGTGTGAATATATGTAGTCAATGTAGTCAATGTTGCATGTTGCATGTTCATTAGCGCTATCTCCCTCGCACGCATTTTAGGCGCTTTGATTTTAGCATCCACCTTAATATATCTCTCTATCTGCGATTATATCGCTGATCTATGTGTAAATTTGTATTAGACTCAACTCTCTCAACTCTTTCAAAACTCATGTTGTACATTTGTTTTCTCTACTTCTTTTCTTTTTTTTATAGCTTCAAGCTAAGACAAGCAATTTGCAAAACGTAGTAAAAAGAGAAATCATCTGAAAACAAAACAAAAATAGTTATAACAAAATAACATAAACAAAATCAAACTCAAAAATCAAAAACATAACTGTAAATTGGTACATATACTAGCGTTAAACAAAAGCAACAACAAACAACAAAGAAACTAAGAACAACAAGAACAAACGCCGCTCGTAGTTTTCTTTTGTGGCACAAGCAAAGTTACATTTTGCATAGTAGACTTTTAGGCGCCGCACACAATTTAGTAAACGCAACAACAACAACAAACAACAGACAACAACAACAGCAACACCTTCAATAGCAATCATCAGAACATCCCAAGCAAGCAAGCAACCACCAAACGCCACCAAAAGCCACCAAAAGCCACAAAAAGCCACAACCACCACGAACAACAACATGAGCTTGAACAAGATCAAGAAACGCGACAGCTCTGATTTATGACTGGTGCGGGCCAAGGGCGCCGGCTCCGGCGCTGGCGTCGGCCTCGGCGTCGGTGTCGGCGTCAGCGTTGGCAGCGGCAGTCGCTACAAGGTGACCGCTCGCTGTGTGCCAGAAGTGAGCATCACATCGCCCACCAGCGTCAGCCAACAGCAGCAGCAACTACAACTGCAACAAGAACAACATGAAGCACCGAACAAACACATAACGCTGCTGCGCAGCCGGTCACAGCCATCTGCTAACAGCATTTTCTCGCCAGGCTTAGGCTTGGCCGCGGGCAGCGCCACTCTGGTCGAGGAGGAGGACTTCAGCTTGCTGTCAACGGAGCCAGTCACTTGGTCGGCCAGTGGCAGCGGCGCCAACAAGAATGTGCTGCAGCGTCAGCTGGCGACAACCACGCAGCTAGAGGAGCAAGAGCAGCAGCGCCAGCAGCTGCACGAGCAGGATCAGGAGCAGCAGCAGCAGCAGCAACAGCAACAGTCTTTGGGCGACATTGAGCCGCCCAACGAGCTGACACCGCTGGTGGAGGAGCGCTGCGCCGCTGCCACAATAACGGGCGCAATACACAACCCGACGACCAATAGCTACAGCCACAACTCGAAGACGACGCGCTCCTGGCCAGTTATCTATCGGAATCCGCATCACTGTGACTACGAGGCGCTCTACGTGCAACAGCCACCGGCACAGCCGTTATCGCAGCCGTTCAAGCAGAACTGTTATTCCAATCAGTTCAAGCAATCGATTGTCTACTCCAGCAGCAATGAGGAGCTACCGGGCGGACCAGAGCTAACGGAGGTCACGCCCCGACAAACCACATGTTACTATTTTGCGCCCAGTCGGCGCAACAGCATTTATGAGCATCCCTCGTCCGTGGTGGGCGGCTCCTTGCAGTTTGACGCGGCCGGCAACGCAGCGACCACAGCGGCAGCAGCTGCCGCCGTCGAGAGTCTGAGAAGGAGCAACAGCATCCTGCTCAGGCAGAACAGCTGCGCCAAGGTTATACAGCGCAGGGGCAGCGGCAGCGCCGGCGCCGTCGCCTTGGAGACATCCACATCGCTCAGCTCACAAATGGACGGCATGGGCATGGGCAGTGGAACTGGTGGTAGCGCCTGCTGCTCCAGCTGCTGCATGGGCCCACCGCCCGTCCTGTTCCTCTTCGTCACGCTGCTAATGACCACCAGCGCCACGGCCATGTTATGTGCCGCCATCATGACTGATCACTGGGAGCACGTAACATGGGATCGCAACAGTCTGGATCGTTACTCGAATCGATCGGGTCTGCATCTGGAATGGCTTCTGAATGACCAGGTGGCTATGCTTAAGTCAGATAAAAGGGGTAAGTTCTCAGCTTATCTATCGATTTTTTTACTCGACTTTCATTGTGATTTATATATACTAGCGGGTATTTCCCGGCCTGGTCCGTGCAAAATTGTGTACTTCAAATTTTAGATTAAACTTTTTCACCCATTATACTATCTTTAACTCTACGCCTAAAGCTAAATTTTACATGGATAGTTCAAAAATAAAGTCTTAAGGTCCTTAAAACAAAGAAACAAAAGTCGGAATCAACGGGTTTTAACAATGTTAGTCTTGGGTCGTAAATCTTAAATCCGAAAAACTTTCGAGCTTTGAGCCAATCGGACAAAACTTAAGACTTCCCCAATAAAGTTCAAGCTTCCAGAATTCGCAGAAAATGTGAAACACGTCTTAAATTAATTTTTATCCATGGGTAGAAATTTAAGCTCGAAACATTACCCACCAAATCTTTGACCCACATTTCCACCAAGGAAGAATGAATTTTGCGAATATTGGGAAACACCCCTCAAATTAATTTGAACAAAGATCAAAGTCTCCCTAAATGTGTTACGACATTTCGCTGTAGAAACTAGAATTCCCTGAAAGGATTTAAAGATGTTTCAATGAATTAATTTTATAATTTAAGATTGCATAATACTCGACATTGTTAAAATTTGCATTGATATCATTTTATACTTTTTACTTTATAGCTGATCATCGCTTTCGACGCGATTCCGTTTTTCTGGTGCCAATGCACGGCGGCATCTGGACGCTGTGCATCGATCTGCCCATTCAGCAGCTGCAGGAGCTGCGCCGCAATCCAAAGTTTCCACGCGGTGCACCGCCGTGTGTCAACTACTTAGCCGGGTCCATGGAGAACGCGCGCGGCGAGGAGCAGCGCAACGATTGGCAGCACAGTGAGTCACAGGTCATCACACTGCAGCCGCATCTGAGTACGTATTATGGGCGCAATCCTGCCCGAACCAAATCTATAATCCAGCTCTTGAGTCACAACATATTCGTTTGGACACACTTTGTTTAACAATTTTCGTTTTGAGGCAATTTTGCTTTTATTATTATTGATTCATTCGTATTGCTCTCGATACCGTTTTCTCTTTTAAATAGTATAAAAACATTATTTTATGTAAGCACTTAGCACTAGTTGTGATTGTAATTTTACAGACTTATAGAAAATGATTGTAGTAAACAGCAAAAACAAATAGCATAATCTTAAATAGGAAGATTGGGGAAGGATAAGCATGTGTATAAGTATGTTTGTGTGAGTTTTAAGTAGCTGATGTATTGGTGTTGTTGGTGTGCATGTGTGAGTGTGTGTTTTGTGTGTATTTAACTGGAATGTGCAGTCTTCGAGCGACTCCTAAACAGCAGCACGCTTGGCAGGCGAACAGACAGCTTCGGCCTCCGAGCTGGGCTCTTCGGGCTTCTTACGTTTAATCAGATGCGTGATGTCTGTGGGTTTGTTCGAACTGCTGCTGATGGCCGACGAGGAAGCAGCAGACGCTGTGGCCGATGAAGAACTGGACGCAGCTCCATTGGAGGCAACAGTATCACCAGCACGGGCTGTCGATGAGGAGGCAGCTGCATCCCCACCGTTGTTGCTGCTGCTGCTCATGGGCTTGATGTAGCTGTCCAAAGCAGCGCGCACCTCTGCTATTGTCTGCAACGATTAGATATGCATTAAAATTAACATCATTTCAATTCAAGTTTCTTTGCCACTTACCTGTGCTTGTGTTTCTTCGATCTCTTGAATCTTGACCAGAATCTCTTGCCTGGTCTCCTCCAAGTCCAGCATATTGTTCTTCTCCCGCTCGGTTGGGTTCTCCTTATTCTTGATCTCGGAAATTTCTTCTTCAATAAGCACGCTAGAGTTGCGCAGAGCTGCGGCGCCCTCCTTGTTAAGCTGCTGCATCAGATAGGTAAGCCCGATCTTGTAGTGCAGCTCGGCCAGCGCACGACGATTCTTATTGGGCAGCTCCGCATGTATCTTCAAAGCTTTCTCTGCAAGTAATTAAATAATGAATGGACTTCTAATTTACAATTGCTTTGATCTGTTACCGTAATCCTCGCGTGCCGCATCCAGAATACCATTCTCGAACTCGATGTTGGCCAGCTCCGTTTGCACATCAGCCAGATAAGGCAAGCCGCTGAGACCCTGGCGCGAAAAAATCTTGGCCGCCGCCTCGAGTATCTCCCAGGCCAATTGAAGACTGCCGCTAACACCTTCTCCCTCTTCGTTTTCTTCCTCGGCCTGGTCCACATCCATTGCCGCTGGTGCACCGTTGCTGGTGCTGGCTGTCACCTCGCCATTAGAAGTGCTGGGACGCTCATCCTCGTTGTTTGAAGCGGCAGCGTTCCCATTGCTGCTGCTCACTTCATCCACTCCCGTGGGAGGCTTAGAGCTACCGGCTGCCTCGTCTGGCTTAGACTGACCGGCATCGCCCGTGGAATCGGCCTCGTCGGCATCACCTTCCTTGATGCTTTCCAGCTTTTTACCATTTGTGGCTCCGTTTGCTTTGGGCACAACTGGCTTATCTCCATTCGCCCCGCCCTCACCCTCGCCCTCTTCATCGTCTTCCTCGTCCACATCCTCTTCATCGTCATCGGCTGCCTCGTCGGGTACATCGATCACTTTGTTCTCATCCAGCGCCATCGCAATCAACGATTTGGCATAGCTGCAAAGGGAAACAAATTTCAAGTTATTTCGGTCACAACCCTGAATTCTCGACCCACTCACAGCAATAGTGGCTGTCCCAGCTCATCGGCCAGCTCGCCATACACCTCCTCGTATAGCTGGCACACCTGGCTCAGCTCATCGGCCGCCTCGTCATAGCTCTTTACCAGAAAGTTGCGTGATCCCTGACTAAACAGCTCCTTGCCCTTAAGTATCTTCTCGGCACGCACTTGCTCCGGGTTGACAGCAACATCTGAAGGCACCTTGTCGGGCGTGGTGTCCGCAGCGACGGGCTCGATGGCTGCCTTCTCTGGCGCTGCATCGGCAGCAGCCGTTGTGACAATTGCTTCAGCTTCGGCGGACATTTCGGCGTTCCTTGCGAAGTAAACTGTAAAGAGGGAGAATGCTTAATTTATGCATATTACTATATATTTGCTGGGATCAAATTAATAACATTGCGAATGCAAGTGGCTCCCAAATTGTTTCTGTAGTTCGCGCCAACTGCGGACAGATGGGAAGCCACAACAACTGACTTCATACGTCTATGCAATCGATTCCCACTACAAAAACGGTCATACAACCTATAACTTATCTACGTTCTTCACATCGAGGTGTCTCAACACGTACAACGGCCCCATTTTTCATGTTGCGGCCCATTCAGCCAACTAAGTAAATGCTGGATAAGAAACTTCATACTATCTTTATGTATATCAGAGAATGTTTGTTCTGAATGACTTTGGAAGCAGCTGTTGCAATTTTGGATGTTTGCCAGAAAATGGTTAGAATCAATTCCCTTTCTAGAAATCAATGTGCGTAATGTCTGTGTTGTCGGGACAAATTGTGGAAATTGTACTTTCTATCTGCGCACACACTCTAGGATTTTTTCCCCTCAACTTAAACGCCTTACAATATGAAGCAAAAGAGTGTGTGTCTGTATTTGCGTTTTTGTATCTATAGAGGCAACCAGATGCAGGATATTCCGTAGTCAGACACTTCCATCTAGAGCACTATTTCTTTTTATAGTATTTAGGTGTAAATAAGGAGTTAATTACATTTTTCAATTTTTTAAATACCTATTTTAACTTTTGACTACCTCAATTAAGTTTAATTAGCTTAACACATGATAGATTTGCGCTTAATCTTTTGATTCCACACATAAATTCCCTGCTCCCAACACAACCTAACAACGTATGTAGAGATTGTGCCCTAGACGTCACCTTCGATGTATGTAGAGAGACCGGCGAGAACGCTAATAAATAATACACTTTATTCGTATTTCTCGCATTCGTAACGCACTCAGCTTACTGCCCAGACACAACTTTCACAGCATATACCATATATTCATTTATCTGGCTCACTGATTCACCTCATCCATAGTGGCTTAAAAAGTTCGCCTGCTCTCGCGCTGCCCGCACATTTCACAAGTCATTAACGCAAATCCCCAATGGAAAGATTCCGAATCTGCCCCAAATCCTTTGAGTACATTAAGCAGAAAAAAAGCAAAAGTACTTTAGTCGGGCGTGCTCGACTAGAAGACACCCAATTACCCAGCACCGAGATGTCATATTATATATATATTCTTAAATTTCGTGGTCTCTCTGAAAACATTCCTAATTGAAAATCGATCAATTTATCAATTATGAAAAAGGCATGAGCATCATTTGAAAAATTAGATCTGCATGGGCAAAAGAAGGACCTACTTTCCAAAATTCTAGTCTCTAGATAGACAGATGGAGTCAAATTTACTTGTTTTTCTGTTTCTCTGCCTGTAACATACAAGCACACAAAATCATACAACCTTCTTTAGCCCACATGCAACGGGTAGAGGGTATTGGAAAGCATCCAAAAGTGCAACACAAAAAGCGTCCGTGAAACCTTTGTAACCATTCAGACAATGACATCAAATACATGCATACAGTAATTACCAGCAGTTGGTAACTAAGTTAAGCGCCAAACCACAGTCGATATCGAAGCGCACACGTGTGCCCCTTCCCAGCTCGATGTCAGGCGCCCTTCGCTCGTGCGAGCGGACAGCAGAAAGCCCAAAAAAAAAAAAATATAAAAAATCCAAAAAAATAGGTCATCATGTGGTTTGGCTAGCGGCTGCTCGCCCCGTAAACCACGAAGCTCTGTAAATCGCAATTGCCACTTTGGTTTTTAGGCGAGTTTGTTTTGTCCCCCAGCGTGGTAGGATTTTAATTGGCACAGTCTGTGTATTGCATTGGGTAATTGGTTTTACTAGTGCCATGATTGTGGCTATTATGCGACAGTTGAAATAAAACGCGCATAGAGAGGTTTAGGTCTCAAAAGCCCATGAGCAACGTAAAAGAAAAATGAACATCGATACGGGAGAAAAGTTAGATACAAAAAAAAAGCGAACATCGAATGAAATTCATCAGATAACACTTGGCTCAATGCTCACTAGAGTAATTCCGAAACAAATGCAGACCTTCAGAGGCGTGCCTCTTTAATTGGGGTAGTCCGCTTTATAAATTGTTCATATAATATGAGAAAATGTTCGCCTAATAGGAATGCCCATTAGAAGAATTTTGCATGCAATATTTAAACTGTAAAGCTTAACTTTAATATCGAATAAATGTTGACTAAAAAATTATGAATTTAGTCCAGAAAATGATACGGCTCACGTAATTGCCTAATTTGGTAAAGCAATCTTGAAAAGCAGAACATTTTCGAAAGATTATTTCTATAGTGCTATATGATATAACTAGAAATAGTCAGAAGGATTTGTCTCATATGTGTACAGTATGGCAGAAAACGTCAATGCAAAGTTTGAATAATATATCTTTAAAAAAAAATAAAAAGAGATAACTTAATTTGTGACCAATCCTTCTTATGGCAGCTATATGATATAGTTGTCGGATTTTATTAATATTATACTCAAATGTAAGCAAGTCAGGAAAATTAATAAAGTTTGGTTAGGATATCTATATTGATAGAAGAATTTTAAACAAAAGCCTAAATTTCGACCGACAGTGGTTCGATCCGAACGTGTTCTACGTATGTATGTACTACCTGGTACTCGGTGGTTGATACTGATCAAGAATAAATAAATATACATTCTAGGTTCGGAGATGCCTCCTTATATGCGTTACATATTTCATGACATAAGTAGAGTATCCCCTCTAAGGTCGGGCTTGTTCATCTACTTCAGGGAACATGCTTCAAAGCACAACATCTACCACCATCGACACATATCTGTATATAACCCTGAGCTTTTATCCACAACAGCAGCTATTGGCTTTTGCTCTGCATGACATTCCATCATTTATGTTTCCTCAATCTTTGTAAATAATGCCCCCAAGCGGATATTGTGTTTAAACTTTATATCGAATATGATGTGCAATGAATTAAAATTTGATTTTGATCGAACAGGAATGCAAAACCTGTCCATATCCTGCTCACTCGTCTGCCTCATCATACTGGGCAGCGCCGCTTTGGTGGGCGCCTTTGGCGTCTGTCAGCGCCAAATAAGCGCCATCCTTATTACGGGCGTCATGTATCTACTGGCGGGTAAGCAACCGGGGAAGCCCAACCCGCAATCAAATAAATTGATCCTAACTTACTGTTCTCTCTGTTCGCAGCTCTGTTTGCGCTGTTCACGCTGATGATAATACACTTTAAGCGGCAGCAGGGACGCCCGATGTTGGACAGCGACTACGATGGCACCGTCGATGGGATTGTGGCGCGACCGGGCGGAGTCGCTATTATGGCCAAACCGCTGCTGGGCGCTCGCGTATTCTTAACTTCGTGGAGTCTGGATCTGGGCTGGGGCGGCGTTGTGTTGTGCGCCATTACGTCGGTGCTATGGATTCTGCTGTCAAAGATCATGCGGTATAACCCCTTCTCGGCGCTCATGATTTAGCTAAACGCCCTGCCGCTCAGCGGCTATGGCAGCTATGACGGCTACTATGGCAGCTACGGCAGCACCAACAGTAACAGCAGCAGCGGCAGCGCCAGTTTCCTGCTGGCGGGCGCCACATCGTCGACGCGGCAAGCGGAGCATAGGGGCAAAGGCAAATACATACTTTGAATCTCCACTTCTCCCACTAAAAACTAATCCCTGATCTGTCTCTCTCGAAATTCCACACTGCATATTAAACGGTTGATTTCGATTACTTTGAATGCGCGCCCTCTACTCAGTTATCAGTGTTGGAAAATGTACCAAAAATATGAAACCGCAACAGAATCAATTGCCTTGTTCTTATATTATACCGTATACTTATACTTATACATTAACTTATACTTATAAAACTATATCTTACACTTATTGTAAATCAAATTTACGATACTCTCTCTGTCTCTCTCTCTCTCTCCGTATCTATGCAAATTTTGTATACATTATATTTAAATACTGAGCAACTCTTACACGAAAGAACTCTACACACCACACATTATACAGGCCATAAAAACATTTGTTATATAGAATTGAAAATGTTCGGGATCTATTTACAAATACCCAAACACGGCTTTTGCTTCGAAGCTCTTATCTAGTAACAATATCGCTTGCATAGCAATTTCTAGCTTATCACAAGTTAATGGGCCGAAAAATAATGTAGTTCTGCGGTACTGTTGCTTAAAAAAATAACAAAATAATACAAAAAAGAATGGGTTAAACCAATACAACTATCAAAACTATTCATAGAGTGCTATAAACTATGGTTTACTAAACTTATTGTATTTGTGTATTAAGAGCATCAACTGAAATATGTTCTTATAAAACCAACAAGTGTATTTTTATGCAAACGCTTCGCCTTAACAAAAAAAACTTACCAAATTATATTATTTAAAATTATTTAAATACAAAAAAAAATGCAGTTTCTTTTAAAACCATAAATTGTTCTATTTTTTCGGGCTTGGAAAATGGAACGCGTGGGCGTTCGATCTATTAATAACCATTTACCGCCTGCAGACGACACATCTGCTGAGTTGGGCGAAAAAATGTATTAAATTGTTAAAATATCAGGGAAAACGCGAACGCAGGTTCATTAACACTGTGCCTGGCAGTTGCTGCTGCTGCAGCCGCTGCTGTGGAAACAAATTAAACAAATATGCAAATGAACTCGCAAAAAAAATTACAAAACATTGAAGAAAACATGTGCGACAATTTCGACAAAGAGAACGCCAAGATCAATAAAAGTGCGAATTGCAGCTGCGGGGGTGAGCGGGCGCTCGGCTCGAGGATCTTCATTGGATTTAGGCCGGGGGAGAGGAGTTGCATGAGCCCAAAAGACAAAATGGTTGGAGTTGTTTAATTAACACGCACTGTAAACAATTAAATATGTATGCATGTACGTACATGCATGCGGAATGGTGTACATACATTCCTATAGGTATGTGTGTGTTCGGCAAAAAGATCGAGATTACAAAACAACGCAAAAAAGTTCATTCACCTGTGTGAGTGCGTGCGTGTCTGTGTGTTTTTGTGCGCGCGTCTCAACGCGCCTGTGCGTTTGTGTGTGAGCCCGCCATTCGCCGCCAGCCACTGCAACCGCGCAAAAAGACACACACCGGTAACGCTAACGGACATTTATTTAACACAAGAACTACAAAACCATTCGCATATTCGGAGAGTAAATGGTATTGCGACAATTAATGGCGTTTTGTACACGAGATTCGCAAATTCGCATGCCCGAATGTAAATGTATGCGTGAATCCGTGTGTTCCTATTTCAAGTGGCTGCATAGGTATTTTGGCATTTAACTGACACTTACCTGTGTGTTGAGTGTCGTTGTTTTGATAATTTGTAAGGTCTGCACACTTTTTAGCAGTTTAATTTCGTTTATTTGCAAAAAATATACGAGCTAGCACCGCGAAATGCTAAAGAAGACAGAGGAACTATCGGTTGTCTATCGATAGGTATGGCAATGTTTATGGTCATATTGCCGAAACAAACAAGTCGCTTGCACACTTATCGATAGCACAAAAAAAATAGCCCTAACAAATGTGACAAAATATACGCTCAAATTAGGAAGTATAGGTGTATGTGTCCCTATACATTAAATTTAAATTTAAATTGAAAAAACTCGCGTATCGATATGAGCAGACCTGCCAGCACGTTAAGCAGTCGACCAGCCAGTGTATGCACACATATTTAAAAAAAATTAAGTTGGCAGCCATTCAATTGTAGACTACAGTTTATCGGCCCGTCTTGTTGAAGATTGCAGTTACATTTCAGAGCTTAACGTGAGGAGATGTATGCGGTGCGTTGTCCTAAATTTATTAAAAACGTTAGTGTTAATTGACATTTGAATAAACAAACCGGCAATCAACGTAAATAACATACGTGTGTTGAACCAAATTCCAATTGTGCAATTTACTCAAAGACACAGCGATATACCAAATAGGCCACCCTCTGTTTGTTGAATATTTATACACACCACCAGCGCCCCCTTCCTTGAACCGATTGTGTGTGTGGCGCCAACTGTATGTAAAAACATTCAACGCTGCGCACGATAAGAACAGCAGCAGCAGCAACTACAACGATTATTGTAAGTATATTTTTTTATGCTGTTGCTTTTGTAATGTTGTCCTTTGTGCGTGCGCTTCCTATTTCTATTGATTTTTAGTAGCTCTCGCTTGGCCCTCAACTTTTGCCCTTTGTTTTTGTCGTGTTTTGTTTTGTGTCTTGCTCCACTTTGCGTCGTGTGCGGGGTGTGTGCGTGTGTGTTTTGGTTGCTTTTGTCTTTAAACTTGGCCGATGCCTTCATTGTTGTTACTGTTGTTTTCTGTCTCATGTGCCTTTTCTCTCTTCTCTTCTCTTCATCCAACTGATTCACCTGCTGTTTTGCTCCACGGGCAGCTGCAAAATCTCAGCTGCTGCTGCTGCCGTCACACAGCAACAACAACAACAGCAAAGACAAAGCTTTTATTGTTGTTGCAATAACCGGTTTCCGATTTCATTATGAAAACTGTGCTAACTTTTATTATTGTCCAACTGCACATGGCGTTAACTGCGTCTAATTTATTGAGGCCCCAGTGCCAAATAGTTTTAATTGCATTCAATTTTCTCCGCGGGCTGCAAATTATTTCATATTTTTTGGCAGTTTCCCTTTTGTCCGGCTTCTTCTCATGCTTCTTGTTGTTGTTTAACTTTTTCGTATTATTATTTTCGAACTCGAATTATTATTTTTAGCCCTTTTCCAATAAAAGAAAACTTGGCGTTTCAAACGAAGGCCTCGCCCGCCATGCACTTTGAAGCTCCCCTTCTACACCCTTTCCTCCTGAATTCTACTGCATTGCCAGCCCATTCCAAGCCCCCCCGCCCCCACCTAGATTGGTTTCCTGCGCAAAACGGAACTTTTGGCAACTTCAATATGCGGCAGGCAATTCATTTTTTGCAACCACCGGGACACATGATGGCCACACGACAGGCACACGGACATTTCTAGACTAGGACGATGATACGGGGGACCTGAACACTCCAAGGACTTGTGAATGCGCGACATGCTACGAATCGATGGGAGGGGGGAATAGCTTGTGTGGGCGGCAGACCTGTCTCGCCGTACTAGCACCGATTTCTGGGCACCTGGCTGGTGTAAACTGCGGCAAATGTCAAGCGGAAAACAACAGGAAATGAATTGTAAATAAAGTGTCCCCAGTGCTGCCACAACATGGTGGCCGCTCTGTGGCCAAATAGCTTCAGGAAAGCTGGAGGGCGTGGCTTGCACCGAATTGCAAAAAGCCTTATCCTTAAGCTAAAGATTGCCCATATTTTTCAGACCTAGAGTTTAAGATACGGGAACTGGTTGATATATATCTAAGATGAAGATATCTTATATGTTAAGCACAAAACTAACGTATTCCAATTACAACTATTTAAGAAATTTTAAAGTCTTTTTAAGTTTAAGTTCTGGACAGTTTAACATTTACGGATGCGTCACCAAAAAGAAATGGGAAAACACTTGAAATGAAAAATGTCTGCATGTCCATGGGGTCTGTCTATATGAATCGGCATGTATAATTTAAGAATCATTTCAGAGATATATCTTAAAATATGATTATGAATCCGATAGAACAGAAATAATGGGCGAGAAAAACTTTTCACCCATTTACAAAATTGGTGAGATACGTACAAATAAGTATAAAGTTGAATCATATTCTCGAGACAATTGGATATGTATATTATATTATATTATATTCAACATATAATTAACGTTTTAAATGCATATTATTTATCAGTTTTATCTTTAGATAGACTTTTTATTCACCCATTTCAATACTCTATTCTACACATTTAATTTACACTTACCTTTTGAATGCGTAATCCAAAAGCTTTATCAGCCAAGTTTATGCGCTGCATAACTGCACGAGAAAGTATTTCACATCATCTAGAATTTTTAGAACGTTTCCGACACGGCAGTTCGAGTGGCGCCACGAATCTTGTTGGAATTCAATCACTTTCGCTTGCTGGCCAAGAATTTTGCTGGTTTTTTTGCACTCTGCTATGCACTCACCCCTTGGTCGATGCGATGGCTTATTTGGGGAGTCGGTGGTTGCCCGCCCGGTCGACACACGGCGTCATCTGGCCCGGCTGCTGCTGTTGGCCCAGACGGGGGATGCCGCATAATGCTGTTCTCCGTTTGTCTGACTCCATCCACAACTGGCGCGTTCTCATGCCCAGCTGTCGCTCCTTTCTTCTTTGTTGTCTCGATGGCATTTTATGATACACATAGTTTGCTCTGCTCCTCCTGGGCTTCGTTTGCTTGGCTTGGCTTTATTTGCCCGTTGCCCAGAAGTTCATTCGTAATGCATTAGCGCTGCGCTCCAACTTTTTATATAGAGTTTCCATGTCTCATAATTTAACGACGACAGTTGCGATATTAAATTTCTGTATTTGCTACATTTTATTGCCAGTGAGTGGGAACTGAGTTAGCGAGTAGGGCTATCTATTTCAATAAGTGCTTAAGTGAGTTTAAGTAACTGAGTTAACTAGTAGATGGCCCTCTACTGGACTGTTCTCAGAAAGCAGATAGTCTAAGTTAAAGTTAGCATGTACTTATGCCTCTTTGGGAGTTGCTTTTTTAAGTTAAGAAATATTGAAAGCATTATTCGCTATTTGTGAGGACACATAAAAGCGACGGGTTATCATATACTAATTGTAATCAGATTGTTCCTAATGATATAGTAATTCGAAGCCATAAATAATGCTTAGTATTTAACTGTAAAAAGCATTGTAAAAACACTTGCTTTTCGACCGATAGTTCATATGGATGCTAGCTATATATGATATAGGAGATAAACAATTAAAGATATATATATATATATATTTTTTTCAAGTTTTTCCATAAGAACAACACTCACAATTTGTGGGTTTACTTAAGGTGTTTTAAGTAACCAGAAAGTTTCTTTCACAAACTGCTTTTACCAAAACTAGTACATCCATTTTAATTTTTATCAATTTAATCCTGCCGATTTCGACTCTCCTTAAAATTGACAGACTTTTTTTGCATAGACGAACATGTCTAAATCCACTCTGCTGTTAATAATTATCAAAAATATATATACCTTGTGGGATCGGAGATGCCTTTTAACAATTCCGTGGCAAAGTTGAAATAACTTTTGGGAGCTTAGAAAAATCGCCTAATGAACATTTTACTGCTTTGTAATATCTTAGAACCAAAACTTATGCACCTACAGCAATAATGAAATTTCTAATACTTTTTACAAATATATAATTAGAGTTTTGTATATGGTAATATTTGTATGCATTCTTATCGCCTAATAATTGCTTATCATTCCAGTTTTAAAAAACAAATTTGTTTTACA